TTCTTATCGCCTTCATCATAGCCATTACTTCGTTCTCCTCCGGACCTCCTCCGACTCCACCGTGCACTTCATCCCGCTCGGCCATCTCTTCACTGTTACTGACGCCCAATGTGCCAGTAACGCTGTGTTCTCTGATTTCCTTCCTTATTAAACTGGGTCCAAATGTATTGTATATTGTTATTTTTGACGTCCCTATTCCCCAACAAACGACGTTCTGACTTGCACTTGCTTGCACAGTTATCGGGCGATCTTGTGTTGTCTGAAGTTAGCACCTTGTTCCCAGCTAATCTTTGTGGGCTGAACACAACTCAGTTATCCCCTTTGGTTCCTATTACTAGCCCTGCCCATCCAGCCCAACACGGATATGGGTGCCGCCACAGCTGAGGTGGAAACCGCCATGGCTGCCGAAGGCGCCAAAGCAGGGGAACAGGATGGGCGGCCGGGGGCAATGCAGCTGCTGCAGCCAGGGATGGCGCTGGCGTCAGGCAGCGGGCTGCAGCAGGTAAACGGACATGTCAGGCTGCAAGCCACGGGTTTGTACAGGTGCCAGGGTGACAGCCGAGCCCCTGAACAGGAGCTGGGTTGCCTGTCGTACACGCACATATGTTAGGGTACGGCACATGGTGCAAGTCATGTTGTGTGATGGCCAGCTCATGAAAACCCAGTCGCCTGCCTTTGTTCATGCTGGGCACAAAGCCACCCCTGAGCCTTGCTTTCAGTTACTCACGGCCCGCCCCCACCCTTGCCATGTCCCTCTTTCCTCCGTTCTGCCCTGCCCATCCAGCCCAACACGGAGATGGGTGCCGCCGCCGCTGAGGTGGACACTGCCATGGCTGCCGAAGGCGCCAAAGCAGGGGAGCAGGATGGGCGGCCGGGGGCAATGCAGCTGCTGCAGCCAGGGATGGCGCTGGCGTCAGGCAGCGGGCTGCAGCAGGTAAACGGACATGTCAGGCTGCAAGCCACGGGTTTGTACAGGTGCCAGGGTGACAGCCGAGCCCCTGAACAGGAGCTGGGTTGCCTGTCGTACACGCACATATGTTAGGGTACGGCACAAAATGGAAGCGTGCTAAAGAATGTTCCTGAGAATGCTAAGAATGCTAAGAACGGCTTGAGAATGCTGGCGCTGCTGAGAATGTTCTTATGCCAGTCTCAAGCATTCTTATGACGGTTTTACGAAAGAATGGCTTTGAGAATGAAACGGTGCGGAAAACTTAGCAGAAACACGCACAAGTTACAGTGGTTTGCCCCTTCCATAGTTCAAGCAGGAAACAGAGAGTCAGTCCTGTATTCTGAAATAAGTTCATAGTGCTGAAATCATCCACAAGACCGACCATGAGGGCCCCTACAGCTCTGGACCGAGCGGGTAAGGCCCTTCGAAAACTGGCTGGCACCAGGAAGTCGCCCCAGTATACAAGCGAAGCAGACGTGCCCCAACAATCAACTATCCAACGAAGGATTTAGTCAGTCAACGTATGGAACGGGCCCCAAGCAATTTCTGTCGATTTGCATAGTAATGTGCCACTCCCATTACCTATTACTTCACCAATACGTCCCTGTGCACAACATTCATTCGGTTATCCATCAGTCGTACCATCAGCTGTACCTTCATTGAGAAGCCCCGCCCACCCTAAGGCACTGATTGGGTCGGTAACCCATGGGTTACCCATCGGTTACCCACCTTCAACCCCAAATTTTAGTAGAAGATTTAGAACTATGTATGTATTCAGTTTTAGCGTTTGTTCCCGCTTTGAGGGCATGAAACTCCCGAATAAGATTATTCATTCGCATTCATACAGTTCGAAGTGGATTGGGGAACGCAATTTAGCTTGAAATCCATTGTGTCTCTGGCTAGTTCTGAAAAGAAATCAATCGTGGATTAACAAGTTTCCCTTTCCCTTCTTCGCCGGTCAATCACAGACACCTCCGCGCCAGGCTCTGCCAGCTGCAGGCTTGTGGCAAACGGCCGCTGAGGGGCGGCTGGACAGCCGGCGGGCCGGGACGGGGTTGGTTCGGTCGAGTCTTTTAGCCTAGTAGTGTGGCCTTGAGAGCTCAGAAGGGATAGTGCTTGGTGTAGGGGGGAACCAGTCAGCTGAACCTGCAGGGATTTTCCCGGGTTCAGGAGGTAGCTACCTCTATAGATGTCGCCACATGAGAGTCTGAGAGTCGTTCGAAGTTCTTTGGATAGGTTTATGCGTCATGCGTGTGTTGCCCCGCTGAGGGCATTGGTGGGCAGCACGAGGGGGGTATAGTGGCCGTGGGCCTGGGGTTGTGTTTTTCTGCAGTGTAAGGACCCTTAGCAACTTGTTTCTGCCTTCCCATATCAACCATCCAGGAGAACAGAAATGAAGAGGCCACGCATACGTTGGTAATTTCATTTATCCCAGAATCCCAGCCCAAAATAACCGTCATAGCTTAGATTTGAATTCAGGTTCGAACCTGAGTGGAATCCGGAAGAGTTCATTCTCTATGGTATCACTTCAGTAAAAACAACTACAGCGGTTGAGGCAAGTCTGGCCACGTTAAGACAGCTATACACCTGACAAGAACCCATTCACGAAATCCTGCAGCTGAC